TGCTGCGCTACCCCAGAGGACCCCGAATCTGCAATGGGGGCGGAGGAGGGGGGGGGCGGGGGTTGTTCGGGGTTTACGGTTCGGTGTTTGTTGTGCACGAGGTTTCAGGCTTCGAGGTTTGTTGTTTGGGGTCCGGCGTTTTGGGATTGCGTACAGTACAGGAGGGTGGGGGCAGTAGTGTGCAGAGGTTGCACTGTGGGACGCGGGCTAGGCACGCATCCCAAACTGTGCTATCACCCCTCCGCCAACTGGTACCTTCGTTACGCAATCCCTTGCCCAATACAGTCATCATTGGCATTCCACATATGCATTGGCACATGACAAGAAACATCTGAGACAGTAGTGTGCAGAGGTTACGCTGTGGGACGTGGGCTAGGCACGCATCCCAAACTGTGCTATCACCCCTCCGCCAACTGGTACCTTCGTTACGCAATCCCTTGCCCAATACGGTCATCATTGGCATTCCACATATGCATTGGCACATGACAAGAAACATCTGAGATTTTGGTGAGTACAGAGAAGCAAGCCAAGTAAAATTCATTCATAACAGCTCAATATTGCAACCCATAAGTAGCCGTTTCAGAAAATATCATACACGTCAGTCACTGCGAGTGTGAGAGTGCTCAATTTTTTAGACTATACATGATGCTAAATAACAAAGCATTCAACATGCATGGAAGAAAAGACACCGCCTGGCGAAACACACAGAAAGGGGAACAATCCACGGACAAAGGAGACGAAGTTGCTTCTAGTGAGATGTAGACAATCACAGTACCTGGATGGGAGAAAGAATACGACTCATGCATGATTCCAGCAACATGTGGAATCGAATGTCGTACAAATGTTTGCTCGAACATGTGCTCCTCCCATAAGAATGGAAAACTAACAAGAGACGTGAATTGTCACCTATCACAAAACACCATGACAACTACACGACAAGCAAGATACACTACGCACTCTCAATATGTACACTAAGTGCCACCTACAAGTTCCTACAAGGCTACAACTCCTACTGGTACACACCTGTCCAACCAAAGCAAAAAAGATGTACCGTCTCCACAAATATGCTAAGGCATGAAACACATCCGTTACTACAAAACTGCCAGAAATAAATGCAAAGCCAAAGTAACGACAAACAACCAAGCAAATGAGAAAATATCATCCGTGAGAAAATAAAGAACATCGTATCCGTCCGTCGACATCGACCTCCCCCGGCCCCTGCCTGCTCCGCTGGATGGACGACCAGGACGTCTCCCCGCCGCTCTCGCCCCTGTGTCATACGTATGGAAGCCACTGCTAATCTCGACTGCCTCTCCTTGCGGATGACCTGGCCGATGGGCTCCTCCTCTGTGTCCACCTCTGAAGCACACGTAGCTGCCTATGCCACGATCCTCTCGCGCTCCCTATGGGGCTCCTCTTGCAACTCCCTCAATCATTCCTCCAAAGCAATAGGAGCCTCCAACTCGTTAATGTTGTCGTGATGTAGCTGGTCGTCCCCTCTAGAGGTGTACATCCGACTGTGGTCACCACGTGCACTTATTAGCAGCTCTCGGCGTACATGAAAGCTGGTCTCTCTAAGAATGCGACAGGTCGTCCCAATACTGGGTGCGCTCCTGCGCTCCTCCCTCATTCGTGCCTCCGGGGCTGCAAAATCTCTCCTCGCACGATCGTTGACTCATCTGACAGTGGACAATGGACGGTGATGCGACTGTTGTGTCTCCTGGCATGATGATGACAATGACGGCATGCGGCCGCTGCCGGCAATACGTGTACTCGGGGGTGGTGCAGCATCATGCGCTGTCGGGGGAGGCGGGCAAATGTGGGTCTGACCTCGAGCGGCCTAAGCACCCGCTCTCTACCTCTCTGACTCCTGTCGCTCGCGCTCCAAGCTCACAGGTCACCCGGAATACTAAGGGCTCACAGGTATGTAAAGTGGAGTTGAATGCACTCCAACCTCGTAAGGTCCTGGACGTCCCTTATGGGTAACGTTCATCGGATCCTCCACCAACACACAGTCTAACGTGTCGGGATCGAGCGGGCCCGATGTAATCTGCCCCTTCTCCGTACGTGCTCGCCAACCTCCGGCATCCTGTGATGGAACCTCCACGGCCACCTCCTCCGCACCAGCACCTTCGTCCACATAATATGACAGAACCTCTATGGCGACTTGTATCGGATCCCGCACCACCAACACGAGTGACATCTTGCCTACGTCGCCACCCTGTAAACCCTGTAGAGATCCGCCTGCATCGCTACCCTGTGAACCCTGTAGGGATCCGCAT